AAAAAAAAAACATTTGAAAGCGTTCCCTAATTGGCTACAATGTAATAAATTTGGTTTGGCGAGCCAATGAAAGACAATCTTGCAAATTACAACATTTAAAACTTACTACAGGGATATTCGCTTCAAAGCTTACCTTTATTCTGTGTGACTGTTGACATAATTAGAAAGATTACCAATTAGGTTACATTAATGTACCTCATAGTCCTAAAGCTGGATTTTGAAGTACTCTGAGACTAATGGCAAAAGGGGTGGAAGAGGTCCTTAAGACTCACTCATACCTAACCCTAACAGTCCAGCCCACCCAATGTAATTCAATATGCCCTTCCAAATAAATATAAGTGAGGGTATATACAATTGCATTTGGAGGAGGGCACTGAAGGGACTAGGTAAGGATTAGTTATGGTGAGGGCCCTAAGAAACTCTTAACCAATGGGGCAAGTATGATTTCATACTATATGACATTATATAAAGTATGCCAGGAATTCTGCAAGCATCGACTGATGCCGTGGGTGGGATTGGTTGAGGGTCCAGCTTGTGACTTTTTATACCTCAATCCAAGGAATTGTTTTATAAAATAATATGTAATTTTTATCTATTTTATATAAAAACGTTTATCGATAAGTAATGTAACAATCTGAATAAATCGCAGAAATCAAAACAGAATAAATGTGTTCTGGTTTGATGACATCATAACCATCTGTTCATCTTTCTACTGTATTTTTAGTATCACTTGAGATAATCAAGTGTTGTAATCAAGATAATCAAAAATGTTGTAATATTCAAATGAATCTGTGGCAGAGATTGATTAAGTACACTCAGTCGGTGCTTGAAGAATGGCATGCTATGAGGCCCAGCCTTACGGAATGATGAAGACCATATTGTCTATGCTTGCAGGATATATACATATCCTAACTGGTACTTACTGGAGGTACTGTGGAGGGTTGAGTCTTTTTCACTGAACTTAATTCACCTAAAGTTCGTTGCTTTGAAGAATCAAATGTTTTTCTCTGCTTGCTGGCATTTTTCTCACAAACACGCATGTGCCTTGTCTGAAAAAGATCATAAACACACAAAATATATTGATTGAAACATTACAATCTTTTCCACAGCTAGCTGATAAACTTAGTTATTGGCTCAGCATCACAATACTCGACTGGACACACTTATTACACTACGTACTCACCAAAACATCTGGTCTAAATGTTCTTCCACAGACGCCACAGGATTCAAAAGTAGCAGGGTTGAGATATTCTCTATCTGTAAATATATGAAGTAACTATTAACACATCGCCCATGTTTTTTTATACATCTGTGAAGGTTTTCAACATGTGATGAGTTTATGTTAACCACTTCAATTTATTGAGTCAGTGACAAACATGTAATTTTTGTAGCAAGGATATTTCACTGGGGTCCTAAAAATGAGAAGTCAAAGTGTCTTTTATGAACTTATAAACTCAAGAACACTGTAAAATGACAATTATAGACTTTATCATGGAAAACATGCTTTATTTTTAATTCACACTTATCAAATC